ATGACTTTATGCCTCAAGCGTATCCGTTCCTCGACGTGGAAATGTTTCGCGTATCGAACGAGATAATCGACATATTCCTGCGGTCGAAACCAATGAATAACATCCAGAAGAGACGATACTTTGCTTACCTCTACTCTAAGGTGGTCCCTGTGAGACAGAGGCAGGCGAAAGTCGGAAAAGCTGGTCAACTGTTTGGAGGAGACCAATGTCGCGTTCTAGGCACAGTGATCAGCAACCCTGGATCTCTCTTTCGACCACAATAACCCTCAGCCTCGCTGCTCCTCTTCCTTGTCACGAGCATATACGCTAGGCGGGAAATCTCACCTCGTACGTCCGGTAGCGGAATGTACCGCCAATCGCGTCTTCCTGCTCGAGAACGACGGGGTCGAACGGAAAGTCGCTGTCTGCATATTCCAACAGCGATTTGCAGGCCACCAGGCCCGCGGCGCCAGCTCCAATAACGACGACCTTCATGGGTATTGCAGACAGGACGGTGCATCCCACGGCACGCCGGCGTGGTTTTAAAGAAGCAAGGCGGCAGTGTAGCTCGGCATCGTCAAGAACGTCCAGTTCTAATTTTGTTAGTGATATAACGGTAGTCTCGAACTAGCCGCTCGACGCCGGCTTTTTGAGGGATGACTCGGATGAGGACACCGGCGCAATGAAATGAACGCGAACTGGACAGTACCCACCATCACCTCGAGGCATTTAATGACTGGTTCCTCCGATCCCGGATACAACCTTCCATATCTTGCGATCGATGTCCATTCAGTCGAGGTGCCTCAGGCCAATCCGTTTCAACTCGTTGGATTTAGCACGGGAGTAAGTCCTCCAAATCTAGTAATTCTCCCGTCACTTGAAGGGTTAAGCGCCCACAGGCACACACGCGCCATCTACCCGGAGCAGGGCCAAAATCAAGATATTTCTTTTGTTCTTAACCTACAGCCACGAACGGTCGTCAGAAAAGCTGTAACGTGTCTAAAACCTGCTCTCTTCAGACGTGTTACGAGGAAACATGTCAGAGAGTAAACCATGTGAAGAAGAAGACGGAACTCGCTGATATTAGCGGGCGTTTATCAACTCGTGTTGATACTCCTCCCTCTAGAGCCGGCATCGAAAGTGCCGCACGTCTCTAACCTCGACCACCTTCTTCCAACACATTTACCCTCGGTGTCTCGCTCTCCATCTTTGTCTTGATCATCTATCGTTTCGAATCAACGGTCGATCCTTGAGAACGTAGAACGCAGTTGTGCAGGATGCCCCATCCCTTCATTCCTCCGCTTCCTGCTTCATTGCGTGCGGAAAGTGAGTTACCTCACAAATCCGCCGTTATTTTGCATCTCAACTACCGACAGTGTCCCAAGATGCGAACGTACAATACATGTCTCGCAAGCCTCTCGCGCCTTCTGCTCTGCGACCAAGTATATTGAAGCCCAACTTCTTTCTCTTGTGGCTCACACTGAAATTTTAGGACCTAGAAAAGGCATTCTGAAGCAAACAGCAACCTCGGCAGGTACGCCCAAGTTGTCTGTTCATATCCGAGTCGGACGGTGCTCATGTAGTTTCAAGAGACGACGATCCCTCCCAACTCGCGGCAAAACATGGCCAGCTCTTCATCTCAAGGTGCCCGTGAGTCTCACATGCTAGCTATCGGTTCAGTTTGAATTCATGATGACACCCACAGAATTAGCGCCACACAGAGGTATCTTGAAAGCCACCTCTTCAGGTAAGTTCATGTTCCGGTGGGACGGCTTCCTACTCATGCTGCATCAGCGCCACCACCAGTTAATATTCCTCAACAAGCCGGTCCAACACGTAGGTGCTGTAAAGTTCGACGTGAATCACACCTAATTTCGCCCTAGGTGAAGCCCAGTTCTCCTCTGAGCACCTTCGAGCCCAAGCACATGCTAATTGGAACGCCTATGTCCATCAACGACATATGCACGCCGCGCAGGCTCATGCATGTAAGTAGATTGAACATGACGCCACCGATCTAATGCAGCACGATATAGATCAACAGAACGTCTCACGTCCTCAGTCTTACCCTACACACGGCGTGCAAGCATCATATCCAGCAATACCTCATGCACAGACTATGCAGCAGACCCAATTCACCGCGCATAACATGCCTCCAGAACATTTCCAGCAGCCACAAAGTCAAGGACGAGGCGAACGGCGACCAACGGGTATCGGAACCGCTAATGAAGGTGTCACCGTCATCGGTCTGTCAATCTTATTATAGACTAACCCACAGCCAACTAACTAATCAGCGCTTCTCAGTAGGACCTGTTAAAATGGAATCTATATCGCTCGCCCGCCCACTCAAAAGACACTTCCTCAAAGACCCTTACGGGCAGCCGACGAATGCGCTCGAGTACAAGGTCAACATCGCCTTCGACCCGAGCGAGGAGAACGACCATAGTCTCCGGTGGAACGCCCACTGGCGGCGCTACGTGCGCCTCCAGCAATCCGAGCTGGACGTCTGTGCATCGACGCACACCACTCTCGAGGAGATGACCGTCTACTGCCCGACATACACCTCCGACCCGCCCTATCGCGTCAAGCTGACGTGCGTCGCCGGGAACAGCGGCATCCACTGCGTGGAGGTCCTCGAGGGCGTCTTTCGGACGTACCGACCTGTCCTGAGTATGCGCCAGCTCGAGAAGCATCGGAATGTGATAGACTCGGACGCATTCAAGAAGGCGTACGAGTGGCGGATAAGCCACTCGAAGGATCCTGCGAGGGAGGCGCAGGCGGGACCGAGGAGGGTCGACCTACTTCTGGGTAGGGTGTTGTTTGGCGGCATGAAGCAAACTGCCGATGGTCAGTGGTCCTTATTGGACCTAGCACCGGAACCGTCCGTTTACTACCGTTGAGGACGTCTGTTGGGGCTAACGCCAATTTGGATCTGATTACAACATGAGGTTTCCTTTGAGACCTGGACATCTTTACTACGGTTTGCTTTGATTATGTACTACTTACTACTTCTGAATGAGTTCCGATTAAATTGACAAGCTTTTCCGCAATGGGGTTGCCTGAGGATACGCAACTGCGCCACGGCGACGGTGAACGCTGATCGATAGTTGATCGATGATCTGAATCATGTTCGTCGTTTTACCTACCGAAGCCCATTCAAACTGAGTCTCTAAACGCTCTTTCGCCTGAGCCCTTTCCACAGCCTGGCGTCTTATCCACAAGACGTGGGTTTATCCATCCACCTCCTCCTCCTCCTCCGTACCAACATCGTCAATATGTCGTCGAAAAAATACAGCGTCCACAATCAGTCGGCGAAGCTTCAGGAAGCGAGGTTTGCCTATGAGTCTTTACATTCTTCGGCTGTTATTCAAGGCTTCCTAGGAATCAAGAGGAAGCTGAAGTTGCAAGGAATTGCATCTCCACGTATTCCTATTCCTCGTTTTCCCAGGCTTTGTCTGTCGGGGCTCGTATTCCACGGAGAAGCCACATACGTCGACGTAGGTGACGAGCCTGAAAACCCCGCCGAATACCGACCAATTCCATCGTCTGGCCACATAGATCTCCCAAGGATACCGCACTGGTGCCAGGAGTACGAAGCACACTGTTACACCCTTGATACCAATGTGTCCTTCACCTACACGCGGTCGAACTACGTCGGCAGCTTTTGTCCAGACACAGCTGGTGTCTGGTTTAAGGCCGGGGAACAGGATCCTTTGCTTTATCTGCATCCAGTCCACAGCAAGGAAAGCCCATTCTTGGCATTCGTGTATAACCTGGAAGACCATGATCGGCGGGATCGCCGAACCATCCCACCCTTCAACGTCTGGACACCGGATAACTCTTGGTCTGATCTCCTTAGCCCGACGAGAGCCAGTCGGTGTACGCAAGTCTGCATCTCGAGCCCCGATGTTCAACTCGCAGCGGAAGCCGGTAGGCAGAGTGTCTCCTCAGTCATCCGATACTGATATTACGGAGTTGGTGTAGATGATGGTGATGAGACGTCTTTAAACGACGAATTGAACGTGAGCGGTGACAGCGATGAAGGACTTGACGACGATGCACATCATTATGGCTTCTCTCAGAAATGGGCGCAGACATTTCTAGAGCGTGCGGGAAATGGACAAGATCTCGGATCATTGGTGAAAGTCGAATGGAGTTGTGGAAAGCCAGAGTCGAGTTTGTGGGGAATTCAGACGAGGCTGGTCCCGGTTCCCGGAAGTGTACGGTCTTCCATTAAAGACAAGAGGAGGTGGTTGAGGAAGTATGAGATTCGGGCGGTCATTGAGAAAGTATACATGAAGCCAGCCTTTTTCCATGATCCGGAAGAGTGTGTTGATTATCTGCAAGAAGAATGGGAGGCGAGGTCAGCACAATATTGACAAGACTAATACAAGGTTGATGAGGAGTGGAAGAAGAATCATCTAGAGCTTACAGCAAATACATGGGTTTAAGTGGCAAGCCACAGGGAGTTAATTTGATGAAGGTAAACACTGAAGCTGAAGGTGAGCGCGTTCTGAGGCAGAACTGAACCGGTGACAGTCGCTGCAATGAAAGAAAGTCTCATTGTGGATTCAGCATTTGCTTGACATAAATAGAGAATAAATTGAATAATAGTTAAAGTGTTACTAACGGATCGGAGGCCTCCTTGCTCGGTATCAATACCCCCCGGTGCGCCACTGGCGCCCTACCTAGCCAGTGTAGGGTGGTGAAGTAAACCGTTGCTTTTGATACACCTCAGGTTTACTGAGGTTACTAACTGTATCAATGTGGTATTGAAACTGTCGGGGGTTGGGAGGTATGTTTCCATACCGGCACGTGATCACTTCGCGTGTTCGCGTGCCGGCACGCTGGCGCAGGGAGAAGCCGAGAGCGGCAAGACCAGGCGGGATGGGGCGCGCTGCGCCACATCACGTGTTAAATGTTTCGAAACCGTTAGTAACGGTTTCAAAACCATTACTAACACCCCGGGCCGGCGGGAGGTTTACTGCGCCACCCTAACAAAATTGCTGGAGACGAGCAAAAACTGACCCCTACCCGACTTGAACGGATGGCCTTGTGGATGTACCACGCCGAACGAACGATTTCCTTATCGAGAATCGCTCGTTCAGCATGAACTGGAATCACACACTCTACCACTGAGCTAAGGGGTCTTGTTTTAGATTGAAGTCAGAGTTATAATACATGACCATAGTCATGACATCATTCTCAAGGTTAGCCTAACAGCAAGTCTGGTGCAACGACATTCTGTCCTCGTTTGAATCCAGAACGGTAATTCTTGCTACTCTCCTTCTCTTCACGTCCTCTTTGCTTGAGGACCTTCTGTATCAACTTGCTCTTCCTCCTCAAGGTCCTTGGTGAGTGCGACCGCAAGGATGATCATTGAGTCGAGTTGAGACTCAAAGGCGACTATACAGCGTCCGATACATTTGCAGCGCACAGTACGACTTGATAATGCGTAACGAAATTACAGTACCCAGATTTCCATCGAATTGTGTGTCATCCACTCCTCCTTAACCTTGTGTCGGTCGCAATTCAAGCTTAGCATCCGATGACCCAGCTCCAAAGGCAACTTGGCAGCACAATCGTATTCCCAACACACTCCGCTCTACCAAAGGGGGGTACATCCACTCATATTTAAAAAAGATTAGATAAATAGCCATGCGATATGTAGGGGGATTATAACAGAACAAAAAGAGTAAGAACATCGAAGAAAGAGTGGGATGAGAAAACATATGCTAAAAAAAGTGTACAAACCAAATCATCTTAAGTACTGTATATCACCCGGGATCATTGATATCGATACGCTCCCGCGTATCTCGCCCGCGGAGCCGCCGAATGACAGGAACCTTGAACGACTGCGTGGGTTGCGCACTCCGCGGAGGCTCTGGAGAGGTAGCCGTATACGGAAGCTTAAACGTTCCCGTAGGCTGGGCACTCCTCGTCCGTGAGAGACTCGACATCAACCGGTAGTCATCCTGCGGGCCCACTAAACTCGTCTGGGAGGCCGAAGTGAGCATAGGAGAGTACGGCCGCGGCATCGGCGTAGACGTTGGCGCAAATGAGGAAACATGCAGCAGGATGGCAAACTCCTCCGTGGCATTGGTCAACTTGTACATGTTGTTCCTCAGCGCGCTGGACCGGGTGCCATTGTAGGTCTTGACAGTGTTGGACAATTGTACAACGGTCTAAAAGTCGTTAGATAGATATCACCCACGCACATGGGAAAAGTACCTTCAAGAACAGATGAGCGTCGTCCCGCAATGCACCCTTGTCCGAGGTCATATCTCCGTCCTTCATCGCACGAACAAGGTCAGTTAGTCTCGTCGTCACCGATCTCGCCCGGTCAAGGCATTCTCGGGTATCCTTTTGTGCCTCAAGAGCATCGCCCAAAACATCCTCCATCATGTCCCAAACCACAGGAGCGACATCCATCGCATTTTGAACAGCTTGTATGGCCTCTTTGTCAACTTGAGTTTTGGAACTAGACGGCAAGTCCATAACAGGCGTCCTCGACGGCATCGTTGGAGATGAGGAACTCGATCCTGGTGAGGAAGCTTGCGATCCGGCACGGGAATGCACCGTCCGGGAGCTCTCTCCTGTGAAACTGTGTTGAGGGCTTGTTGGGGAAGGGGAAGAAACGGTGACAGCCATGGGAGCCAGCGTAGCATGTCTCTTGGGTGCACGAAGGGTAGATGACGGGTGCCCAGAGAATGTGTTGGCAGAGAATCCTCGAGATATCGGCGGTAATGGCACATCATCATACGAGGGCAATGTCTTGCCAATCTCGACGTCTTTGGAGCTGAACGACCCCGCATGCCGTCTCGCTACTCGTATTCTTTCACTTGCGCCACCAGGAGGACTAGGTCGCAAGGAGACCAACGAATGTGACAGCTCTGCCGGAGACTGTGATGCGGATGAAGGTGAATAAGGATCAGATCCCATCATGGAGATACTGTTCGGTGACGGTATAGGGTAGGGTTTCCCTCGCAAGTGAGGTTTGATCGCTTCAATATGAGGCACCATAGCTTGCCACGCCCACGATATTTCTGCAGCCGCGCCATACAACACCAGAATCATGGTGCGCACGTTCCGCACGTCGTCACTGTCCGCGATAACCTTGATCTGCAAGGAAAGCACGCTGACGGCTTTCCCAAACACGGCCACGGTGTCTTTACAGCTCTCCACCACACCTCGACAGACAGAGGGAGGCGGCAAGGTTTTTCGACTGATCGCATCAAAACGGTCAAGGGAGTGTATGAGTTGCATCATGTCCACGCTCGCAGGATCAAGCAGTTTTCGGAGGACAGAAGATAGACGGTCGTCTATAGCATAAATGGTGTAATGCTCCAGAGTCTGATAGATCTGACACACAGCAAATAATATACTGCGCGCGCACTCTATCAGGGAGAGGAGGGGTCTAGGAAGAGCGTCGGACATGGTGGAAATGGGGAGTGTAGACAGACGTCGGAAATAAGAGTTTCTCTCGAATGCCATCGAGGACGTAATCGGGCGAGTAGGGGAGGGATGTGCTGATTCCTTGCTAAAAGGTCGGTTAGAGCGGAAACCCGAGCTCATCGAGGAGCCCGAATCTTGCCGTGTTGAAAGTGGTGATGGTATAGAAAAGTCATCCGGGGCCGTTTTGGACTTTAGCGACGGTAATGTAGGGAGGTCGGGAGCTTTTCTCGAGGAGAAGGCGAAGCGGGCCGTACGCAGATCAGGCATACTTTTCTTGGCTTGTAGGTCTACCTGTTGCGTATCTTTGATTCCACTGGGGGCGTAAGATGCGTTTCGTCCATGCTCTTTAGAGGAGCGGTCACCTTTGGCGGAGGGACTCGAATGGGCGGTAGGGTCGTTGATAGAGAAAGAATCAGAGTCGGCTGGGCTGGGCAGATAGCTTTCAAAGGAGCGCGTCGGGGAAGTCTCTGCACTTTCGGATTGGAGAATACCAAGGTGCAAAGGCGGAGGTCGGTCCAGCTGACCATAAGAGGAGGAGGGGGTCTCGATATCCGACTCTGCAATCGAGGATGAGACCGAGAAATTCGAGTCGATAGAGAATGAGCGGGCGTGCGGGGTGACGCCTTCATCAAATTCAGATTCGGATACTGGGAATCGTGACCACGCAGCAAAGTTGCTTTCTCTGTGAACAAGTTAGAAGTGGACAAGAGATTCATTGAATGACTTGCGATTTGTTCTCGTCTGAGAACACAGCATCTTCGTGATCGGAGGTATCCTTCTCTATCCACCTTTGCAACGCATGAACCCAGTCCTTCATAGCTTCTGGAGTTGGGAATCTGGACGGTCGGTCCATTACTGCACTGGGCGGCCATTCAATGGGATTACGTTCCAATTCTAGCACTGAAAGATTCTGGAACTTGGAGATATACTCTGGAAGCCTTGTAATCTTGTTGCGTGAGAGACAGAACACCTAAGATATGTGTATTAGACACGACTGGATTGGAAAGGGGAATATCGACCTTGAGCTTGAGCAGTTCCCCTGGACGAGTTGGGAGTCGTTTAATCTTGTTGTGGCTCAGGTCGAGTGTGTCGAGGGAAGGCATTAGAGTAAGCTTGTATAAGAGTGTCAGATACGAGCCAAAACAGACATTGGCACAACGTACGACTTCTGGAAAGACGGTAAAGCAGTTTCCCTTGAGATTCAGATAGCGCAGACGCGACATCATCGCGAACTGCATTGGCAGCGTCGTCAAGTGGTTATTGCCCAGCGCAATCCTGCCAGCAACCGGTCAGTTTAGTGGAAAATGATGTTGCCCACAGTCCACCTACCGCTCGACGCGGCTCCCAGCATCGCCCAACTTTGACCCGGTCGTTGCTAGCTCCTCTGCAGCGGAAGCCTCAATGTCGGTAATGTTCTTTTTCAGGAAAACGAGCGTCACGCCGTGGTCCTCCGACTGCGCGAGAGCCTCCTCGACGTGGGCGCGGGTGAGCGGTGTCGGTAATACTGAGCCCCGTTTCGACCATTGTGGGGAGTGCAGCGCCGACCGGTCGACATCGAGCGAGGACGATGACTTGGACGGCGTCATCATTGTAGCCGCCGACGAGGCTCCTAGCAAATCGTGGCGGTCATGGGCTGCCGGCTGCAAAGGCATCCAGCGTCGTCGTCGGCGTCCACAAAGTCAACAACAGCGTTACTTCAACTTTGCCTTACGGTTCGTGGGACACTTGTGGCTGTGTCCTTTTCCCTGCTCAGGTACAGAGCTAACGTACTTCGGCAGACGCTAACTTATATGTACTTGGTGAAGAGACTCTCGTATCCCCAACTCATTCCCTGAATTTTCCAGAATACCAGCGTTCGGATCATTCTCCATTCCGAACAAAACTCTACATTCAAAACCACATGGACACCGAGAAACTGATATCATTCGCACGCATTGCATGCCACCATCCAGGAGGGAAAAACAGGACATCTCCGGGTTCAAGGGTCACAAAAGACGCTCTGGGCACCACCCTTTCCCAAAAGTCTGGATACTGGGTGTCAACGGTCGTGCAAAACACGTCGACGCGCGACGTGTTGCTCATTGACGGTTCTTTGTGCTCGGACACCTCGTTAGTCGGTTGTAGCGGGGACCGATACGAATACATATATTCAGAACTCTCCGGAGGTGCCAGCCATACCGACTTGCTTCCGACAACTTGAACTAAAGTTCTCCGGTTAGATCAACATCGATAGATGGCAAGTGGCGCTACCGTAAACATTAAAGTATGGGTCCTAATACACGCATCAGACAAGCAAGAGACCGGAGAATACGATGAAGCATACAGTATGAGCAGGGGAAATAGTTCCTTTCGGTCCAAGCCAAGTGTTTAGAACCAATTGCTCTTCGTTGCCAGGAGGGACATATGTCGGATAGGTCAGCGGGGCAGACGGAGCAGTATATACATAGTCGGGGACGACGATGTCTTCTCGAAGTTGAGGGAACTGAATGAACATGTTATGCTGGGCGAGATACAAGGGCCCATCGGACGAAGGGCTGCTAAGGGATACCAGGAATTCGTCCCAACCCAACAGCTTTTGTGACCAATCGGCGGTTCGGTAATCTGACCCAACTTCTACGGGAACAACACGTCCAGGACCGGAGATGGAACGAAGGTATTCTAGAGAGCGCCATGGACGCTCGCTGACGGCCGGCCA